GGGCCATGCTCTAACAGCAAAACCCTGTTTCAGTACGCATATCGTTTAAAGAAAGTCAAGTGACTGATGGAGGACCTGTTTTGAACTGACTGAAGCACTAAGCTATGTTTATAACCGCATCTGTCAACACAACGAATCTGCCAAAAAAGATCTTTTGCCGTTAATCAGCCATATAATCTAGAAATAGGAGGCAACCTCAAGGCAAAAGAAAGATTTCAGCCAATCGGGATCATTTTGTTCTTATATTTGTTTTCATTTTGTTGTTTTGTCATCCTGATCCTCTCGGTTATCACTCAACTTATCCAAACTTATCAAATCGACTCTTAATTTGCTGTTCTTACTGTCCATAAACATCCTTATTCACATGTTCACTTAAATGTTCCTAATATGAGTTCACTTTTGTGGATCGCATCTAAAAATATCACAAATATCTTCTATTTAAACAAAGATATTAAATAATATGTTATAGCAAACAAATCAGTATACCGGGAAGGTAACTAAATAAGTGCCAGTTTAGTCTGTCAAAGAGGTTTCCTGTGGGCATTTTAAATGTCCAGCAGGTGTCAGTATTCAGTCTCACAGTATCAATACAGTTTGCCAATGCTTGTCTAAATACTGCTCTAAGTAAGACCATCTTTCAGAATGCCGACCAGCAGTGCTTAGCAACATGTGGAGCATTTTCTAGACTTATGTGGTACAAAACAGCAGAATAATTATAATAATTGAACTTTATTGATCGCACATTGGAGAAATTTACCTCTGAATTTAATCCATCCCCTTGGGGAGCAGTGGGCTGCTCAAACTTAAAACCTCAGGATTCCAAGCTCTATGCTAAGGGTGGTTGAGGGCCGAAATGCAGAAAGCAGAAGGCAGAGATTGTTTTTTTCTGATTCAATGAAGAAAAAAATGGCAACAGAAGCCTTAATCCCAAAACAATAATCAGGAAACCAAACAGGAGAAACACACATAAGGAGTATGAACTGCTGAGGAGGGTTATATATGGGAGACAGAACCAAGAGTGGAGTAATCAGTTAATTGGGAGCAGGTGTGGAAAGAAGCAGCTATAAAGGAGCCAAGTGGAAAGGAAAAGGGCACCAGGGGGCAACAAAGAGCAACCAAGGGAAACAGGGCTTAGCTGTTACTAGAAAAGAACTTAAATAAGGGTAAAGCAGAATAAAAGTGATGAATACAAAATAAAGAATAACCAAGGAGAAAACTAGAGGATAAGAGAAGGAACTGGAGATAACTGAAGCCATGGAAATAACCTAAGGATAAGATAAACTTAATAAAACTAGACCAGGGAATAAATATTTGGAAAAATTATATAAATCTTGACAAAATAGAATAAAATAAAAAAAAAGCATAACTGAGAACCCAAAATGAAAACTTACACAGAACCAAAAAGCACAGAGTGGCACATCATGACACGCATAGGGTTGTGATTCAACAGAGTTTAAAAGAACCCGTGCTGTGATATTAAAGTAAATGACTTTTAATGCGCTTTTAGTTACCCTCTATAATAGGCTGCATAACTTTATAAAAACAAGCTAGAGAGCTAATTGAAAGATGAATGCTAAATGTTTCCAGGTTAAAGGAACAGCACATCCTTTTAAGCGCTGATGGACCTCATCGCAATGTGCTGAAATTCAAGCCCCCTCTGTGCTTCACAACAGAGGATGCTGACCTGGTGGTGGAGAAGATTGATCTCATTCTTAAAGGTACCTCTTTATTAGCTCAACAATTTCATTTCTAGGAGTCAGAGTTGTTATGTTGAGTTGATTTCTTTTTTTTTTTCCAGAGCTGGAGGGAGCATTGGGCTTGGAAGTGAACAACAGTGCAGAAATGGAAAAGAGAAGAAAGGTAAGCTGTATAGTGAGTTCTACTAATGTTTATTTAGCTGATGAATCCAGCTTTAATGACTTTAACCTGTGCTTCAACTTGTTTTCAAGCTTTCAACAGATGAAAACGGACACAGCGGGTTAAATCACAGCAATGAAGGAGCCCAAAAACAAAGGAAACGGATGAAGACATAGAAATGTTGGGGGGAAAAGGCCTCAGGATTTTTTTTATACTATCAAAGGTTTTCAAAAAAAAATAGTTTGAACCAAAATATCCTGCTGATCCAGGAGAGAACATTTAGATAAATGTATTGTGCAAGCCAAATTTTATATTGTTGTCAAAGTTAAAGAAAGAAATCAGAATGCTTGTGTGTAAAATATCATGTTACTTTGGTATCAAAACCCATCCTCCCCTTTTATCAGTGCATGAGATGGGCCACCATTTGTTGACTGGTAAATACCGTTAAATCGCATCACATAAAAAACTATATTTCAGAACTCTTTGTGTCTTTCGTTCTCTATCCAAGCTGTTTTTTTCCTTCTTCATTTTTTTGAGTGAACATCCACCAAACAGGGACACTGTTTGACAAGTCTTCAATTATTTACCAATGTTCCACACAGACTTATTTCAACCTCACGTCTGTTCTTTGTTAGCACAGTGATGTGAAAAAGCAATGATAGCAATTTTTTTTTTCAAATATTTTGGCAAACAACTGATTAGTTCAGTTGTTCTGCAACAATAAATGAACTGAGTTGTATTAAGTTAGGGTGCATGGATTTGTTTGGATTTTTTTTTTTTATATATATATTTTTGAAGAAAAAACAAGGAAAAATGCATTCTGTGTATTTTATTCCCTTTACTCTCATACCACTAAATGTAACCCAGTGCAACTAATCTTATTCAAATCCTTTCAATTTTTGATTAGTTAAGTTGTTCTGCAACAATAAATAAACTGAGTTGTATGAAGTCAGGGTGCATGCTGATTTGTTTAGCTTTTTTGCAAATATTTTGGCAAAAAATATATTTTTATCCCCTTTACTCTCCTTCCGCTGAAAGCAACCCGTCGCAACTAGTTGTTTTCACGACTAACCTAACTTGTCAATGGAATCCACTGAAAGAAAACATAGATCATGCAATACATGCAGAGGAACACACTGCTAAAAGCAAAAAAAGGAAGGTGGAGGGAACATAATTTTTTATGGATTCTTTTTCAACAGTAAAGAACTGTGAACCTGGTCAGAGTTTAAGGGAAATCTGAGCTAAATAAAGGGAATTTCTGAAAGTAAACCATTTAGAGGATGTTGACCTTTTAGCAGTATAACAGTCATAAACATAGAGTCTCACTGACCTACTTCATCATTTTAAAAAAACATCACCTGAGACTTGATGCATCAAGTCATGGAAATAAATGTTTGCTAATTTAGGAAATGCATTTCTAATTTGTCTGTTGATGCAAAATTTACTCATTATGTCAATAATGACCCGCTAAGCTACATTATAAAAGAAAAACAAAAACCCTGATAAATGATGCATATCATCAAAGGATGGCAGCTGGAACAAAGGAGAAAAACTGTGGGAATGACTCCTTATAAACATCTAATGTATAAAGGAAACCATGGGTCTGCATTGGTCAGGTTTCATTGTGATAGTTTTCAAAATCTGAGGATATCAGGTCTCTAGAGGTTTGTACTCTGCACCCTTCTTCACTTCTTTGCAGATATTGCCTTGGTTTCATGTTGGGTTTCATTAACAAGCTGGAAAAAACGCTTGGATTAATATTAAGTTTCAACATGAATGTAATTCTCTCCATTCAGCCTCCAATTAGTTGTCTGAAAACTACCTTAAAACAGACAAACATCATAATGTTTCCACCACCAAATGTAAAAAAAAAAAAAAATCATATTCAAATCTTTTCTGTAATTTGTTGATTACAGTAGTTCAGTTGTTCTGCAACAATAAATAAACTAAGTTGTATGAAGTTAGGGTGCATGCCCTAACCGTTTCCTATTAATTTCCTATGTTAGTCCTAAACCACTATGGATGTAATACTAATAATCTAATTTTATGGCAAAGACAGAATAATGTATTTACTAAGGAGCATTGCTGGAAACACAAATGCAATGAAGATCTATTTAACAGATCTGTAACATTTGGAAAAATGTTAGTTATGCTTGATGGTTAATCATTAAAATATGGAATATTTTTACAAGTCTGATGGCATAATTTTAAATGACTATGCTTGTGTTCATTCATATAATTGTTCCACTACTATACTGTTTAAAAGTAATATATTTAGCAATCCTATGTGATGTCACAGATTTTTCTATCTTTGCTAAATTTCTATGAAGTGTATGCTAATGATGAAAAAATCTGATCCCTATTACGGAATGGAGTCTGCTCTAGACAACTAGATTATTTTTAATAAATAATAAAGTTAGCTTTTTTACAGTAATTCTTTTTTTGAGTTATGTGGTTAAATCTGTGGGAGTGTTTTTGTCTTATAATCTAAGTATTTCCAGGGAATTCTTAAATGTCTTCATAGTATTTAAAGAAGAAATCAGTAATTAATTCAAGCATTTGTGAGCCATAACAGTGAAGAAACACACACAGTAATCATGCAGTCAGAGGTCCTCTCAATTCTCTTATAATGCTTTGTTACAACAATTTACACAACAGATGTAACTGATGAAGAAATTAGGATATAAAAGGTACACAATTGTTTCAACCCCAAGCCGGGAACAAACCTGCACCCTCAGAGTTTCTGCACTCCAGGCTCTTGGGATAAAAAATAATTTTAAAAGGTTTAATTAACTTGCTTATTTGAAGTTTCTAACAAATATCAGGAATATCTTGCAGAACTTCCTATTTTTTGGTTCTAATTGTTTTAAAAATCTAATTAACCAAAAAGAAAGCCAATTTTATTTATTTATTTATTTTTTTACTCAGTTAGATGATGGACACCTAACTGCTAAATTAGGTTCCTTTCATTCCTGGATTAATGATAATTCAGAAGTGGTGATCAATTGAAAATTCTCGTTTCATAGTAAGTTTTTAAGCCATCTTGAAAGACCACTTTAATTGACACTTTAGTATTAGAAACCCTTTGTATAAGACAACAGTCATGGTGAACCCAGCTCACATTAATCTTTTAAGTTAACAGGTTCTAATAGCAACATTAGATATACATATGTGTTATGATGCTCATTTTCCAAGTTATGCATAACAAATCTGTTTTTGCTTTATCTTGGGTTTTATTCTTAAATTATGCAATAATCCAAATAAACCCTCACGACTTTCCTAATACATATGAAAACATGGAGAATGTTAAGATTGTTTGTCAGGTAAGATTGACACCGATAGGTTCAGTAGCTTCTAAGATATTAACCACAGGGTACGCACATTCTCAGATGTAAAAGGTTAAAGTCCAAATGAGTCAAATAGTCTATAAAAAATGTTATATGAATGCGAAGGATTAAAGAAGTATTTTCCTCAGTTCCCAGTCAAGACTGATGATTGAGTGATAATAAAGGTAAACATACAGAGGAATTACTATTTTCACAACTGACATATCATTGTGCACTTGCAGTGAAAATGTTCTAAAAGCTGTATAAAACAAAATTTTGTTTTGTATACACTCTGTATACAAAATGACAATACAAGCTGTGTAAGTCATATACCTATGGATAGTGGTACTTTTACAGCGGAAAGTTGTTTTTTTGCAAACTTAACCATAACAGAACTTCTACATTGCAAAATAGAATAAAAAAAAAAAAACATAGAAGTTGTGGTTATTAAGGTACATACCTTTCCTTATCTCACGTTTTTACACAAGGGTCATAAAAAAAGGATTTTCTCTTCTAGTCAACAACTTGTAGGAAATTGTTTTTAAAGTTACAGAACAACTAAATTTACAATTTATTCCAACCACCTCAAACTAAAGTTACCACAAAAAAGACAAGTAATCCATGGAGCAATGCCACCACCTTGTGACAACCCACTGTAACAACAATACACCAATCAATTAGCCAGACATGAGAAATTAAGCATTTCTTTCCTTGACTACCGACCTGAAGCTCAAATAGGATTTTTTCTGTTATATTAATTATTAACTCACCACTTTCAGTCTTAACAGATTCCAAACAGCATTTCTTTGATTGCTTTAATATAAGATAGGGGTCTTCCACGTTTTCCAGGCCAAGGACGCCCAAACTGATGGCGAGATGGAGCGGGGACCCCCTAATTATATATATTATATGAAATTGTTATATGAAACTTGTCCTATAGTCACTCTATTACAGATAGAGTAATGTAACGAAAGTAATTTAGCCCTGAGATTATTAAAGTAGTTCTTATTCTGATTCCTGGTTGATGGGGCAGGTGTTGTGAATGAAACGGTGCCCAGCTTGAAAGAACTCCTGTGTGTCACTAAATGTGTGCATTGATGACTGAAAGACATCTTCTGCCTCCATTTATCTGTTTACTACAGTGTGTTGAATTCATGTTAATGCGTATTTAAAGACATTTCAATTAGTGGAAAAATTGCAGGGAATATAAATAAAAGTCTTATCAACCAAATCTTTCATGACCCCCATGCAGTACCTCTGTGGACCCCCTGTTGAAGACCTCTAATAAGGGTTAGAGACATGGAATTCTAATGATCTTGCATTTCTGTTAATTTATGCGACTTTCAAAGATACTGTGGTCATTAAGACGCAGATATCCTATTTTGAACAAGCCATCAAAAACAACCTTAGAGGAAACCACTGTACAGGGAGAAGCCTGGAGCTAAATGCATCCATTGATGTCCAGGTTGTTGAATTTTTTTGACGTGATATATATTAGATGCTAAAATAAGCAGAGCTGTCATTGCAGTAAAGATTGCAACAGATTTTCATTGAATAAAATGATGAACGACAACTGTAGGGATTTTTGTAAATGAAGATTTATTTAACCTCATACAAAAACAAAACCACTCCACTTTAATTGGTCTTGTTCAGTTACTTCAATACAAAAACTGACAAACACTTTTAGACACTTTGCAAGTTAAAGCGCACAGTTCCAAGTCTGCATTTAAATTGGCGGCTGCCTCCCATCGGCACTTTGTTTCCTTTCCAGAGCTTTTTTTTAACCCCAGTGACCCCAAAACATTTCTGCAACTCTTTATATTCACGGCAGGTTTTAGAAGAACAAAAAAAACAAACATGAGTAGCCAGTAACATTTACGCCTAATACAGATATCTGCTAAGGGGTCTTGGTTTTTTTTCTTTTTTAGGTTGGTCTGGTTGCATCTCTTGACCAGTCAGTGCTTTCAGTCTTTATTGGTAATGATTTAGTGAAGCCATCTTTATCCATTACTGATTCTGTTTGGTAATTTTCTGTTGTCCATGCCGTTAGCCCATGAGGTATCCTCTGAAAAGACAAAGACTTAAATTAGCACAGGTTAAAATGAAAATACCACATTCCCATCCTTAGAAGCAAACATGGATTATTAAAAGCTGTTGATTTAAAAACAAAAAATAAAGTAAACATAGCATCAACCTTCATTTAGAATCGAGCAACTATTGATCTCAGACTTACGGCAGTTTCATGCGCATGAAAACTCGGGCCATGAAGAAGCTGAGAAGGACACTGACAAAGCCAATGAAAAGCAGCAGGAAGCGGTTGAGTTTGGGAATGTTTGGTGCGTTGGAGCGGTCCAGGATTATGAAGCCCAGGCCTCCCATGGTGAAGAGAAAACTGGAGGCTAACCCCTCCATAATGTACTGCCCATTAACTCTGAAATGGGAAAAAGGACAAATTAGTTCCTCTGCGCTGTTGCATTTTCTTTTTCACCATTTCTTTAAATACTTGTAAAAATGATTGTGATACCTGTATGCCAAAAAGGCAACTGGTCTCTGGTGTCCATGCTCATCAGTCATTGAACCCACACTTGGAGGTTCTACAATGACGTCATAAATAATACCTGCAGGTTGGATAAATAGATGTGGATTAAACATAAATAGATACAAACACAGGAGGAAATTTCAATTAAATTTGGGTTAATTATATAGCGCCAATTAACAACACAGGTCTTCTCATGGCACTTTACAGTTCACCAGATCATACAGTCAAATTGATTCAAAGTTTTCTATCCAAGGAAAACCAGTTGACTGAACAGACTCATTAACTCTTCAGCAATTGCTCACACTAAGCATGCTTGTAGCAAAGGTGGAGAGGAAAAACTCCCTTTTAACAGGAAGAAACCTCCAGCAGAACCAGATTCAGTGTGAGCGGCCATCTGTCGAGACCAACTGGGGTTCAAGGAGACAGAGAAACAGGACTACACTGGAAAAACAGGCTGATCTCCAACATCTATAAACAAAAGGTGTTGATGGCATCAGCACAGCTGATATTGCTGTCCAGGATGGTGTCACAGCCAAACAGAACTATTCCGCAGGAATAATTCTTAACAGATTAATGGTATTTTACATGTGAACTGACTACACCAGGTGGTAAAATTGAAATTTAGACATATATATCAGGCCCTAACTATGGATTTTTAATGCCAAAATCATAAAGATTTCTGGTTCAGCATATGTGAGGCAGTCACTAGCACTTTCCACATCAGTTTAAGCGAAAGAAATACCCTCAAACCCAATTTTATGTGTTCTGCTGCTTAGTATACAGAATATACCTGCTAGCTATTTTTACAACATGGTGGTTTCAGTTTACAATTCAATCTACATGACATTAGGAGAAAAACAATTAGCTGGAAAAGTTAACCCACCTTTCCATTAGCAAATAAAAATGCAGCAGAACACTTTCGTGCAACTAAAAAGACATTTCTAGTAAATAACGATACACATGCTATGCTAGCCGTATCTTAGCTTCAGTTACCTCCTGTGATGAGAAAGTATGATACAATGACCACCGCATACACGGTCATAGCCGACGGCATGTGAAGCCATGAGGGTTTCTTCAGTTTTATATTCGGACATTCGAGCACTGCAAACGGAATCCCATATAAAGTCTCCATGATTAAGGAAATTATTTCTGCCTCTCTCCTTCTCCACAACACTGCTTTACGCCGCTGGTTGGTGTGCGCATGCGCACTCGCTTAGTTGACGTGTCCCGGAAGTGTATATTTCTTTAGCTTTCCCTGTTACTTTTAAATATTTTGAAATAAAACCAACGCATGAAGTAGGTGACTTTAACAACAGAAAGAACATTTACGGATTGAATAAAATTAAAAACATAGATTTTTTTTGCAGATTCCATCAACGTGGCTTTACGTCACTTAAAGAGACAGTAACAAAAAAAACGTCCCCAGAAATAAATTTGACTATTGGATATTGATTATTTGAAATTTTTTTGCAATTTTGTTATAGTAGCTGTTCAACAATAAATTCCGAAAACAAGATGGACAAATAAGGATATTGTGCCACGGTGAACAACGGAATGTTATTTATCATATTGAAATCAAGCTTTTTTTTTTAACTTAATGAATTCAAGAACATTTAATCTTTTGTAACAAGGTTAATAAGAAATACATATTAGGAAAATTGGATACAAGTTTTCTATTTATTATTTAGGAAAAGGAACGGACATATAGTATGAAAAATGAATAAGCACATAGTTTAAGAAGGAATTTTAGACTAGTTATCCAGTTTTAGATAATCAACAGCTGTCAAAGAAAAAGCACCAATGTTTGCGAATTATTTTTTTTTAAATAAATAGTCCAAGTAATAATTATATATATATATATATATATATATATATATATATATATATATATATATATATATATTTAGTTTATTTATATAGCACCAATTCACAACACGTCATCTCAAGGCACCTTACAAATTGATTCAAGTTTTCTAAGGAAAACCAGTTGATTGCATCAACTCATTGACTCAAATGCAATCCCTCACACTAAGCATGCTTGTAGCGACAATGGAGAGGAAAAACTCTCTTTTAACAGGAAGAAACCTACAGCAGAACCAGGCTCAGTGTTAGCGGGCATCTGCCGAGGCTGACTGGGGTTCAAGGAGACAGAAGTAGAGATACAAAAAGCAGCTGTAAAAGGCGGCCCCGTCCAGGAAACACACAGACAGTCAGAGGTTGAAGAGAGCACATCCAGCCAGTCACAGTCAGACAAAACAGGACTACACTGGAAAAACAGGCCTAACTGATGGAAGAATAGAGATAGAACTAAGCACAATGATGTAGGAAATATAAAAAAAATCTGAGAAAAAGAGTGAATGTTCAAAAAATATTACATGGAAAGACGCCATTTGTATTACCAAAAACATGAAAGAAAAAGACTATAGGCTAGATGCTTTATCATGCTTCAGTAAAATACAAAAAAACTTTGAATACAAAAACTAACCCTTTTTAATAAGGGTTAATTGCACATATATTTCTATTTTACTTTAAATCTTTTATTAAGGGTTAATTGCCTAAGCCCCATAGTGGTTTTGGAAGGGGAAGGAAAAATATTTCCCAGAGAGACTTCAGTCCAGCTGGAGGTGACAGAGAGATCAAGATTTTAGTACACTAGTGTGTTTACCATGCTGGTCCTCATGGGAAATGTAGTCTTTCAAGCAAAACAATGCAGCTTTTGTCCCTATGGACAAATAACTGGAAGCTCTTTCAAAGAGCTTTAAATTAAGAACTTTTATTACACAGATATAATTGCATAGCTACTTTTAGTTGAATGGATTAAAAAACAGAGACCATAAAGAGCTGTTTTTTAAATCAGAAATATGTCCTGATATTTTATTAGAAATTCAACAGTTATTCAGGTGATGAGGTTAACTGTGGAATTTTCTTTCACATAGGGGTGAAAGGAAATATACAGGAAGATAAGAGGGCCAAATCAGTCATCCAATAAAAGATTTGAGAAGATCATATAAAATAACTGGCTTACAGATTACAGAGGAATGCTGGGAAAGTTAGAAGGAAAGCAAACAGGAACAGAAAATGGCAAAGAATCATTAAGACTACAGTTGGGACTTAAACATATTCATATGTAGAAAGATGTGAATTCTCTGGTGAAAGTGAAACAATGTGCTATATATAAATACAAGAAACATAATTAGTAAGAAGCCTTAAATGGAAAAAAATTTAAACGGGGCTTTACATTGAAACAGATATATCGAATCCATTAGAGGGCAGTGTTCACCTATTTATTGGCGTTTGACAAAATGGTTTAAGTAGCACAATGGATGAGGCAACAGCAAGTGAGGGGGAAAAAAAATCAAAAGAAAAAAAACCCACCAGCTAGTTAGCAGGTTAATGGACCTTAACTAGGTGGGAGGTGTTCCCTGTCAAAGTGGTCAGTGAAAATGTGGACACAGTGCGTGCATAGGAACATGTTCTGCATTCCTAGAACTCAATCTCGAATTCAGGCCCCAACCTTACATTTTTGGACCTCTTCTCTGTAATGGCCCTAATTAACCCTTTAAAGCCCGATCCAAGAATAAAACAAAACAGAAAATAGCTTTTTTTTTTGTTTGAAGTCCTTATTCGGCCTTTTAACAAAATATGTAAAAAGAAAAAACAGAAATACATTTTTGATAATAATTTATTACTATGCGATAAGTCAAGATTATTTTTGTGTAGCCTTCTGTTATCAGGTATATCTGATTGTGTACAATTGGATTTTGAGCCAAGTTTTTACCATTAAATTATTCAAAAGGTGTCAGACACAAAACATTTCAGAAACCGTATGTATCAAATTTAATACATTTGGCATTATAGGGTTAAGGATGACTGGGGTTAAGCTGGAAACCCAACTGTGTGTCCAGGTGTTGAGAATCAGTGGGACAGATGTGAATTTTCCCATTGTTACCATACTGGAATTGTTAGACAGGAAGCCTCTGATTGAGGAGTGAAGTAATACATACAAGCCTAAATTATGGAGTTTCAGAGTCGGTATGTCCAAAATGAGGGCTTTAAGACAGAAATCCATTAAAATGCATTGATTATTAAAAAGGTAACTCAGTTTTTATACCATTATTTTGAAAACAAGTTGACAAAACTTGCTGCACATATCTTGATGGTCCTTTTGTTCAGAGCTGTTAAATCTTAGCCAGCATCTCCAAACTTGAGATTATATACACTGAATAACCAAACCACAACTTCAACACAACTGATTTGTTGGCCATTTTTATTTATTGTCACAATACAAATACAGATTCTACTTCGATTTCTGGCTCTGTGCTTGTGCCTTGAGCACCTTGACAACGATCTTCTGCTCCTCAATCAAGAAAGCACGCTTGATCCTGCAATTCACAAAAAAGAGAAACTTAGTACACTTTCAAAACTGGTCAAATGTTTTGCCCATAACACTGAATCTGTAAATGGTGGGGGGGGGAAAAGGTAGCAACTTGCTTAAAACTAGCCTAGCGGATCTTTTGAAATCCACACTGCAAAATCAATCTAGGAATAAGTGAAAATGTATTAAAGTGTACTTGCTCTTAATTTGAGTAAATAGGATGATTTGCCAATGGAATTTGTATGTTTAGTCTTAAAATAAGCTAATTAGAAAATGTGCACTTAAAACAGGACAATGCAATATTTTTAGTTATTTTTAACCAAGAGTCTCACTAATGTCAATTCAAGAGAAAAAAAATGACTTATTTGAAAAGAAAAAAATTTAGATTTAAATTTTTTGCAATGCATGAAAGTAGTCTGAACAAGATCAATGCTTAATATGGGCATCATTCCAAACTCACAGCAACAAAGTCCTAAAAATTTAACCAAGGGTCTCTCACCTGTCACGCACAGACTTGGCGCACATGGATCCACCATAGGCCCTGCTAACATGCTTCTTGGTCTTGGAAAGCCTCTTCAGAACCTGAGGTCTAACAGCGCGGATCTGTAACACAAACAAGTCATGAGTACAGAAGCTTTGGCTTTTAAGAAAACATGGATCAAACCTCAGGTTCACACCATTTCTCAGTAAGCTGAGAAATATTCAATTCCATTGCCTCATTCTTAACTTAGTTGGCAGTTTAAATGTTCAAGTTTAACAGGAGAGAACCATGATCCTAAAAAGCCACAACATTAAGAGCTCTATAAGTGAACTACAGAAATTTTAACCTGAAACCTAAAATTATTTTTAAGAAGACAGGGCAAACAACAAAAACAATCTGACCGATTTTTTAAATGAAATTGACCCATTATAAAAAAAAAAAAAAAAAAAAATGGACAGCACATTTAATTCTAACTCCTAAATTGAGAAGGGGCTTCTTTTCCCAGCTTTTATTGTCATTACACAGTCACAAGTATAGAGCAATGAAATTAATCCTCTGCATTTAACCCATCCCCTTGGAGAGCAGTGGGCTGTGGGGTTAAGGGTCTTCTCTCAGAGACCCAGAGTGGCAGTCTGTGGGAGTGGGGCTCAAACTCAGAACCCCAGGATACCAAGCTCTATGTCCTAACCACTAGGCCGCCACAGCTTGAGTCAAGCTGATATTTTAAGGGTCAGGGAAAACTACAATCGTTGGCCTCCAAACCAAACAATGCTTTCTTTTCCACAAATGATGTGCTGTATTCAAACTGATGCCGTGGATAAAATCCTGAACAAATTCACACTAAGTGTTATCAAATTTGGATTAGGAGTAAACCATTTGGTCCAACACCATAACCTTCTATGCATTTAATATTACTTTATAACATGTTCTCACAACTGCGCAGAAGGAACAGATGAGCCTCCCTGCAGCTAAGGTGATTTAAGTTAAATATTCGCAGTCGGAATAGGAATACATTTATTTCTCTTTCTGCCAAAAACTGTTGAATTGTCCATGTTGTTTAAAGTGTTGAGATGGCAGATGAACTGAAAACGCTTAAAACAGCAAAGAACGGGCTAAAGAAAACTAAAACTCCCTCCTGAACTTGAACAATTTCCACATTTGCATTTGGTTTAAATGGACAGAAGCCTAAATATGCAGACTGCAACATAACACCTAAAATCTATTTAGGTGTTATGTCAGATTTGTTTCCTTGTGTAAATCATAATATGCTTAAGTCTTCAGACATATGGCTTTTAAAGTTCATCCACAGCAAAACTTTTGACACAAAAATGTTTTGTCAAACAGTAA